GCCTTTCGGCCTGGCTTCTTTTACTCATCATCATGCCTTGGAGATTTGTCCACATTACAATATGCATGTGTGGGTTCTTCATTTTAATTGCCGAGTAGTATTCCATTATAGGTACATACCAAACTTTGTCCAGCCACTGAAAGATATTTTACGCTTGATACTTCTTCCAGAAATATAACTCGCATAACTCAAGGTAATTTAAAATTAAGGGGGTTATAATGTATTTGCAAATGGCAAATGAAAAACTCAAATATACAGAACATACGTAGATCCATAACCCATGACTGCAACTGCAAAAATTCCAAAATCCCCTGGACATCAAGTGTCCTGGTAAAGTTCTGGCAAATCCCGGCCTCTTCACACTAGGTCCCTTTATATCGTCTACTTGGTCCTCCTGGTGAGACTGTTCACATATTTTGTGGCAGAAGTATTACTATGACTAAGTATACTTGCCCCGCAGGTATACTACTTTACATTTCTATAACCAGGAAAACTTATGTTAACCCCCCAGGTTCTAGATAAAAGTTGTGCCCCTATACTGACACAGTTCTAAGTGAGACCAAACCACAATTGCATATTACTAGAATCAGTAGAATAGGCATTAATCTTTTTGTTCTGTTACAGATCAGCCCCCCATTATGTCAACTAAAAGGATGTAACTCTACCCCAAAGCCCCCTCTTAGGAACAACATCCATCATGCATGGTCTCTGCAGACCCAGCCATTTTAATTTATAAAAATCACCATTTCCACTGAGACTCACACATATTTTGCACGGAAACGTTAAGCTCTCAGAATGACTGACCAATCCAATGCTTCAGTAGGTGGGTAAGACCTAAATGCAGGGCTGTGAAGTGCTCCTCACCAAAGAGATGACACCGCTCTCCCTATACATTACAGACGTTGAGCCACTTCCCGCGGACCGGGGACTGTCCAGCGCTGGGGAAACGGGAGGGAACCAGACAGGTAACTCTTGTTGCCATGAAACTAACTCTCCAGTAAGAGAAATAAGAGGCACAAAGTCACCAAAACCATAAATATCAAAGTGATAGCTCTGATGTGAACAAGAATATAATGAAAATTACTAAGAGGTGGTTTTTAGATTGGATGGTGAGGTGAGGCCTTAGAGAGCTAAAACTGAAGCCAAGAACTAAATCCCAGAAGGCAAGTGAGGACCAGAGGGAAGAAGAGTGCAAGGGCCCGGACACAGAAAAGCTCAGGGTGTATGTACAGCAAAGTAGGGAGGGAGGAAGCGGCACAGGATGAAGGCAGATGAACAGCTAAGGACCCGCTCATATAGGGCTCGTAAGTCAGAGCAAGGAGTGGCGAGTTTCTCCCAAGTGAGATAGAAGGCCAGGAGAGGGTTTAGGCATGGGAGTAACACGATCTGACTGATATTTTCAAATGCTTATTCTACTTGTCACACAGACATAATATGGACAACATAGAACCGATAATCAAAACCTTTCATTTAAAAAAGGGGCTGGCTCACTTAAGAGAAGCCAGATGCTACATGGCAGCCACAATCAGAATCACCAGCCTGGCCAGCTAAAACACACTGGGCGTGTGTGCGAGCGCCCGGGGTCAAACAGGCCGGAAGACTGGAGGAGGCGGATTCAGCATACCCAGACCCTGTAGAGGGAGCCCATCCCTCTCCCTCCCACACTCACCCACTCTCACAGGTATACACACCATCTCCAACATACATAAAAATCAAATGAATTTTAAAAGGAAAAAAATATAAATATAGTATCAATTCATGTAATAAATAAAATGTCAAGAAGACAATGAATTTACTGAAAGGTGCTTTCTGTTTTTGTTTGTTTTTTAATTACTGTCCTGAATAATTTCACATGCACATCAATGTCTTTGGTCTGCCAATTACAATTCTAACAGCTATCAAAGTTAGCAAATTTAAGAACTTCCTCTTTGGATCTTATACAGTAGTATAACTTTTACTCCGCTGACATATCTGACAATATAAACAGAATGTCAGTGAATCCTACAGAAACGGAAAGGTTTGAACTGCTGCTGTTTAAACATTAAGACATCTCTTCGTTCCTAAATATAACAATACTTAATGAAAGCACAGTTTATAAAAACATGATTGAAACTGAAGTTATTACCCCCGACTTAAAAAGCAGCTCTAGCCTATAAATTCAACCCTTCGTGCACAAAGCAAGCATGTATGAGACACATGCAAAATAATAACGATAATGATAATTAAAATATAAGGCCAGCAGGTGGTGGTGGTGGTTCAGGTACTAGACTCCTAGATGACCAAACACAATTCAAGTCCTGGTCCTGGTGGCTTGAAAATCACACAGGGCAAGTGTGCGTGTGTGCCCAAAATCATGAAAGGAGAATAGAGGAAGGACTGTGGTGTGGCTGTCCCCACCGTGAAGTGATTTCTCACTTTCCCTCTGTCTCAGGCGAGCACAGGTGCCCTGTGGCAAACCCTTAAAGGAATAAAAAAAAAAGGAAAAAAATTAATTAAAGATAACCTAAAAAAGTGAGGTGTACAGGGACTAGCAGATGGCGTAATGGTTATGTTGCTGGACTCCCATGTAGTTGACCATTGTTTGAGTCCCGGACCTGGTGGCTTAAAACATGTTGCGAGTGTGTGTGTGCATGCCCAAAATCCTGAGAGGAGAATGGAGAAGGGATTGCAGCACGACCATGCCCTTGGAGGGTGACATCTCACTTTCTGTCTCTCTCTGTATGTGCCTGGCGAGGACATGAGCCCTACATCAAAAATCTCTCTCAAAAGAAAAAAAAAAAAGTGAGATGTACAAGAAAAACAACATAACTATCTGTGGTTGTATTTCCATAAATTCTGAGTTAATGTTTTTACAACAAAGAAATAATGAGCTTTCTGAGAAATAATACTTCTGAGTTTGCCCTCAATTACAGAAAATAAATTTCTGGACTTAACACAAATACTTTAAACACACAAATTTCCTTTTGTGGATAATTTCCCCCTAAAGAACCCATCTGAAGAAAGTATCCAGTTAATGTGAAAGCTGTATTGCATGGTAAAATGTTTACAAGTAAACTACAGGGGCTGTAGGGTGGCACACTGGTACAACGCAACATGGTGAGGCTGACCGAGCACAGGAAAGTTACAGGTTCACGTCTGGACACCGCCTTGGGTACACCAAGCACACCGCAAGCATGCCGCAACCCAAAGCTTGCTGAGGGTGGGTCACAGCATCAGGACCCTGTTAGGGGTGCTGTCTGTCTCTCACTTGTGAAATAAATATACTTTAAAAGTAAAAAGTAAACTGGAACCAGCAGGTGGCACAGTAGTTAAGGTGCTGGCCTCCCACATAGCTAACCGCAGTGCAGGTCCCTGAAAATCACACCAGGTGTGTGCATGTGTGCCCAAAGTCCCAAGAGGAATTAAGGAGAAGGGATTGCAATGTGGCCATCCCCTAGGAAGGCGATTTCTCACTTCCCCTCACTGTCTCTCTCCGTCTTTCCAGCGAGCACCCTGTGGCAAAAATCCTTCAAAATAAATTAATAGGAGCTGGCAGATAGTATGGTGGTTAAGGGCGTTGGCCTCCCACATGGCCGACCACAGTTCAAGTTCCGGACCTGGAGTGCTTTCTCACTTTCTTGCTTGCTCACTCTATCTCTCACTCTACCCCTCTTTGGTCAGACTAAAATAAATGAATAAATTAAGTTAAATAATTTTTTTAATAAAATACTTTTTTAAAAAATTTTAAAACAAGCAAACTACATTCTCAAAAACATGACATGTTCTTACTTGAAGATCTCAAAGGATTACTGAAACTCCAAGTTCTGTGAAATGACTAATGCTCTTCTTCAATTTAAAAATAATTATTTTTTTAAAAAAAGAATTATTTTGTGTTATTATTTTTTAATTTGACCAGAAAGAGAGAAAGGGACATCCATGTGGGAGTCCAGCACCTTAGCCACCACGCCACCTGCTGGCCCCCCTTCAGTTAAAAATTCTACAAAAAATATGAGCTGGTTTTATGGTCTGGTGGTTGGGGCAGCTGGATTCCAGACAGCTGACCATGTGGTTCAGATCCCAGACCCAGTAGCTTAAGAAACACACCAGTTATGTGTGTACCCAAAATCTGGAAGGATGAGAGAGACGAAAAAGTGATTGTGGTGTGACCTCCCTCCTCCCCCAAGAGCACACACACACACACACTAGTGTGCACGCACACACACACTAGTGTGCACGCACACACACACACACGCGCACACACACACAAACAAAAAAAAACTACAAAATAGATTATTTAAACATTACCTTTATTTTAAAACTATTTCATAGTATATAATCCTAAAAATATTGGTATAAACCTTGAATGTTGATGTTTCCTTTTTGACTTTTTATATAGTAAGATGTGAAGGAACTGACTGACCCTGGTGCTCTGAAATACAAGGAGGACACTCTGAAGTTTAATCTAGTTCACAGCACAGAGTTCAAGAAGAAAAAGTACTTCAAATTTATTCGTGGATTTTGAGTTCAATAAAATAACTGTTACAGAACTCCTTTTCTCAGAACAAGACTGAAAATACAAGAAACTACTAATTTGTACACACGATTTCTGTGGAAAATGTTAAATTTCACTCTGAAGCAATGAAATATAAAATCTCATATACAATGTTTATTAAATCCTACTAGGCTCAAGTGTAAACATTCTACCACTATGAAGAACGTACACAGTCAGTTTAATCGCTTAGTAACATAAGATACATTCAGGGGGAATGCTGGGACACTCGCTTTCCATCTCATAGGCACTCAGGGGAACTGGAGCATGCATGCTCATCACCCATGAACGGACAGACATCCACAAAGAACCACAATTAAGACTAAAGCTGGTTGTTATCTGAAGGCAACAACAGGAGGCTTCTGGAAATCTTAACTGTGGTTTCTTAAAAAATATTTTGAGTAGCTCATGATGTGGAGCTCCGACAAAGACCTGTCCTAACCCAAAGCCACGTGCGCGTTCAGAAACTCACCTGCATTACACTCCTTCAGCTGCAGGTCCTTCACGGGCACGCCGTCGGGAGTCCGAAAAGCATTAAGGATCTGCAAGAATATAATATTTACACTAATCAAAAAGAACATAGTTAAATGCCAAATATATTTTCACTACTGGCTTTTATTCTACTTCACTTAAAGTTATGATTACTTCTTTAAAGTAAATTAAGTCATATACACTGTAAGTATTCAAAAATGTTGAATGGGTAGAACATAATTATTATAAAATTTCCAAGCATTAAAAAAAAAAAAAAAAGATAAAGTCCGTGACATTCAAGAGCCCAAACTCTGATGTCAGCCTCTACATTCCAAACCTCTCCTGTTTGCTTGCTAAATAACCTTTCAGTGCCCAGATTCTCATCATTTTAAACATAAAATGATGCACTGAGCTCATTCCAGCCAGGGCCAAGGCATCTGAACTCTCAGCCTGGTCAGTTTATTTTTCCCACTTTCAAATGGATTTTCTCTCACTGCATTCAGACCTGGGCTCAAATGCCAGTTCCTCGGTGATGCCTTCCTCAACTATTCAATCCAAAATGGCTCCAATCCCAGTGGCGCTCTAAGCCTTTACTTTAGCTTTCTTTTCTTTTTTTTTTTTTTTGGAGAGGTTTTTGCTATAGGGCGCGTGTGCTCACCAGAAAGACAGAGAGAGACAGAGATAGAAAGCGAGAAATCACCCCCCAGGGGGGATGGCCACGCCGCAATCCCTTCTCCTCCATTCTCCTCTTGGGATCTTGGGCACCCACGCACATGTGCCCGGCATGAGTTTAAGCCGCCGGGTCTGGGACACGAACCACGGACAACTATGTGGGAGTCCAGCAACATAACCATTATGCTAGCTGCTGGTCCCTACTTTAGCTTTCTTCAGAGCATTTATTCCTGTCTAAAATGATGTTATCTGGAGCCAGTAGACAGCCTGGTGGTTGGATTGGATTCCCAGAGGGCCAGCTGCAATTCGAGTCCTACACCTCATGGTGCACTCGCTCGCTCGCTCTCTCTCTCACTAGTGAGCATATGTGCCCGAGAGCAAACTTTAAAAATAATAATAATAATAGGGCCAACAGGTGGCATTGTGGTTAAGGGTGCTGGACTTTCCCATGGCTGGCCGCAGTTAAAGTCCCAGACCTGGTGTCTTGCTTTCTCACTTTCCCTCTCTCTTTGTCTCTCTCTGGTCAAATTAAAATAAAGAAACAAAGAAAGAAAAATAATTCTTAAAAAAAATTAATGGATAAAACAATAATAATAATTATAATAAAATAACTTTTTTTTAAACAATGTTACCTATTTTTTTACTTACTTTCTTTTTCCCCCAAGTTTTTTGTTATGGGGCACATGTGCTTGCCAAAGAGAAACCAAGAGAGGGAAAGTGAGAAGTCACCCCTGGAGGTGACAGTGATGCCACAATCCCTTCTCCATTCTCCCCTGGGATTTTGGGTACGTACACACACATGCCCAGCCTGGGTTTCAGGCTGCCAGATCCACGTCTCAAACTGTGGTCAGCCATATGGAAGTCCAGCACCTTAACCACCATTCCACTTGCTGGACCCCTGAGTTGCTTTTTTATTATCCAAGGAGGCAGTGAGTATACAATATCCACTGCTGTATCACTTGGTGCTTAGGTGCCGGGCACACGGTAGTGTATGCTATTTGGAGTGAATGAAATGAGAGCACCTACTGGGCCGTTTGGTGGCATGATGGTTCAGGCAGCTAGAGTCCACATGGCCAACTGTGCAGTTTGAATCCTGGACCCAGAAGCTTGAAAAACATGCCAGGCAGGTGTGTGTGCATGCCCAAAATCCCAAAAGGAAAAATGGAGAAGCAATTGTAGCATGACCATCTCACATAGGTGTGCTTTCTCATTTTCTTCTCTCTCTGGAGAGTACATGGGCCCTCTGGCTAATTAAAAAATCAAAATAATATAAAAGGAGCACTAACTCATTGAATATTATGATCATCTTGTTTCTAATTTGCCAGAGGGCATGTACGCTTGCTAGAGACAGACAGAAGACATGGAGAGGAGAGAGGCAGAAAGCACCACCAAAAGGGAAGGGTCAAACTGGAAGCTCTTCTCTATTTCTCCATGTTGTTTGGATTTTGGACATGCACGCATATGTGCCCAGCATGTTTTTCAAGCCTTCAGGCCAGGATTTAAACTGCACGGTGATAATTAAATGAGCTAATGCTGATAAGCATCACGCATTACCCGATACGGAGTAAGTATGCTGTTGTAATATTCTGACTAATTCGTCCCTAAATTTAGCCATAATTTAGTTCATCCTTTGACACGGGGCAGTTTCTACTACTGTATGTACTCCAGAAATAATATGCCCTGCCGGGTGATTATTATCAGGACTCTAGATGTAATATGCCTAAACGGATGACTATCAAGTCTGAAGACAGCAATCATTTGTCATTATTTATTTATTTATTTTTACATATGTCACCTCACTAAGTACACGTATAATTGTTAAAGTCTGATTAAGCTCTACGGACTATACCAAAGGCAATTTCCTGGCTTAGATGTTACACTACAGCTATGCAAAATGTTAACACTGAGGGTGACGGGTATACCAGACTTCCCTA